AAAAGCCAGACCTCTGGCTTGAAGTTTCCGTTTAAAGAAGGGTTTAGGGTTTAGGATTTAGGGTTTAGGATTTAGGGTTTAGGATTTAGGGTTTAGGATTTAGGGTTTAGGGTTTAGGGTTTAGGGAAGCTGCCAGAACAGGGGTCTATATGGGATAACATTGTTACTGTAGTTCCGTACTATGGGCTATGCGGGGTTTATATCGTCAACAATACTATGTATCCAGGAACCTTAAATCCTAAATCTAAGGGCGAAGGCCCTAAACCCTAAACCCTAAAACTCTAAATCCTAAACCCTCAACCCTAAAACATTAAACCCTCAAGCCCTAAACCCTAAAACCCTAAACCGCAAAACCTGAACCCTCAAACCCTGAAGCCCAAACCCTAAAGCCCTAAGCCCTGAAAGGCCGTTGCACTTAAAAACAAATCCTAAACCCGGCCGAGGATGGCGCAGGCTGGCCAAAGAGAGCTCTTGGACAGCTTTGAGGCACGGTCTGGCTGAAGAGCCCTTGTAGTATTAAGGGTTTAGGGTTATAGGGTTTAGGATTTAGGGTTTTAGGGTTTAGGGTTTAGGGTTTTAGGGTATAGGGTTTAGGGTTAGGGTCCCTTCTAAGGTTCTTAAGGGCTGCCAGTTGATGCGCCTTTGGGTTTGGAAGTGGGCCCTAATTTGTAGAATTACCCTAAACCCTAAACCATAAACCCATGGAGCCGCCAGGCTGCTGAGCCCAAGGGCCCTGATTAAGGAATGGACCTTCAAGCATACTATGAGGGTTTAGGCTTTAGTGTTTTAGAGTTTAGGGTTCAGAGGTTTAGGGTTCAGGGGTTTAGGGTTTAGGGTTTAGCGTTCAGGGTTCAGGGTTTAGGGTTTAGGTTGAGGCTTAGGGGTGTTTGGCGCTTTGACCTCAACCCGAAAAACCCTAAACCCTAAACCCTAAACTTTAAACCCAAACCTTAAACCCTAAACCCTTGGGCTTTGAGTTCGTTCCTCGTTCGTGCCAGGCCATGGACGACGGCGGCGAGGACGTTGCGGCGGACTCAGGAGGTCCTCCTCCGGGACGTTCCGCGTGCGACGAGGGCTCGAAGGGCCTCTAAGGATCCCTAAACCCTAGGGGGTTTAGGGTTTAGGGTTTAGGGTTTAGGGTTTAGGGGTTTAGGGTTTAGGGTTTAGGGTTTAGGAACCCTAAACCCCAAACCCTATCTTTTGGGGTTATAATACGTCTACTTGTACTGTAAATATGCCCCTGAACCTTTTTCTGGTAATCAGAGTCTCTACGTCAGTTTATGAATAGTCTTCACCCTAAACCCCTAAATCACCAAACCCTTAAACCCTGCACCCTAAGCCCAAAACCCCTAAACCCTTATCCAAGAACCTATGAAGCATCATGGGGCTCTCTAGTTACTTGGGCTACATATGTTCATATCATATCATATATATATATATATGCACGTGGTGTAAGTATCTTTATGACCCCGGTTAAGGTACTTATAACCTTCCTTACTAAGTCCCATGAGCCT